GATCAGGTTTCTCCATGTGAAGTCTGCAAATGGGTCGTTCTTCTTTCTTTACTTTGAGCCCTTTATCTTCTTTTCTTGTGTTTGTTTTTGCTAAGCTCGAAATATGACAGTCATCATTCTCCTTCTGCCTATTTTTGACTTTCTTTTCTTTATTTTGTAATTTTATATTGATATCTTTCATTTTTTTTTCCTGGGGTGTCTCTTTTTTGTTTTTTCCTTCCTAATATAAAATTTTCTCAGTTTCCTTTTAAATTTCTAACTGGCAAGTTGAGGATGAGAGGCTCCTATTGTTTCAGAAGAGAAATCTTTGACAACTCCATAGAATCTTTTGTTCTTTTTCTGTGTTCTTTAACTTCAAAATTAAGAAAAGCATTAATCCTTCAAATTCTGTCTCTCCCTCTCTCTCTGTGTCCTCAAATCTGGTGGAGAGAAGCCTCCATTTTCTAAAACATTATTTAGTTTTTTGATTTGATATTTTAGGATCTTGCTTCCATGTTTTTTCTTCTTCCTGTTTCTTCTTCTGTTAGTGCATTTGAGATACTTTGTTGAAATACTCAAGTAATTCAAGGCTTGAAGTTGTCTCTCTTTTGGCTGAAACAGCCCAGAGAAACCTTATGAATCTGGCAAGAAACACACAGCAATATCCTTGTGATTTCGGTTTCGATTCGAGCCTGACAAATTCGTAGTGTCCCGAAGTCTTGAAGGAAAGGGGACGAATTGAGATGGGATGTTCCATGTCAAAGCTGGAAGATGAAGAGGCTGTTAAACTTTGTAAAGATCGGAAGAGTTTTATCAAACAAGCTGTTGAGCAGCGGAGGCGATTTGCTTGTGGACATTTAGCCTACATCCAGTCGTTGAAACGAGTGTCTGCCGCTCTGCGTGAGTATGTCGATGGATACGAGCCTCGTGAGTTGTTGTTAGATTCATTCATTACACCCCCTTTCACACCCGTGAAGAAAACAAGTCCTGGTTTTATATCTATAACACCGAAGTCGTTTCCACCACTTCCAATCCAGTCCAAACCGAATACAGTGTTGAAAGTTAATTACCTAAGATCGGGTGGGAACGGGGCGGTTTCTGTTGAAGAGAGACCTCAATCACCAGAAACTGTGAGAGTTGAATCTTATTCACCAATGCACCAGTATGGATTTGATGGTTTCTTTCCAATGCAATCCTCACCAATGAATTCCTCATTCTTCTCTTATTCTCCCAACAACAGACCAAACATCCCTCCCCCATCACCCGAAAGTTCGCAATGGGACTTCTTTTGGAATCCATTTTCATCGTTGGATAACTACGGCTACCCCTCGAACAATGGTCTTTATCATATGGCTATGGATGATGAGATCAGAGGACTAAGACAGGTTAGAGAAGAAGAAGGGATTCCCGAGCTCGAAGAGGATGAAACAGAGCAGGAAGACAACAGCAATAGGAGGGTAGACAGCAGCAATAGAGTAAATGCCACTGAAGAAAGAGCACAAACTGGTCAAAGTTGTTGTAGAGAGGAAGTCCTTGTTGAAGACGTGGATGATGATGAAGAAGAAGAAGAAGACGACGACGACGATGGCGATGACGATGAAGACGCAACAAACCATGGAAGTGAGATGGAGCATGAACTAGAAGGCATGCAATCTCGTGGTAGCAGGAAGATTGATGTATCAAGAGTACAGAATGCTGGACCTATTGCAAGTACAAGCCAAGAATCTGCAGTAGCCGATCCCGAAACCAAGGAAGAGACACCGGGTTTTACTGTGTATGTGAACCGAAAGCCAACAAGCATGGCAGAGGTTATCAAAGAACTGGAAGCTCAGTTTATGATAGTTTGCAATTCAGCAAATGAGGTTTCAGCACTATTAGAGGCTAGAAAAGCTCCATACATGGCGACCGCAAATGAACTTACTGGTTAGATTCATAAATACTTCAATCTAATTCTCTTTACTTTACAACCTTTTTTTTATCCTTCAATTTATATGTGCTTTGCATTCTAGTTATTTGTCCATCTCATATAAGAAAGTTATATCTGAGGGCAGGGAAGGGATTAGATTGATTATGAGAAACATAAATTTCTATACATGAGAGATGAAATTAATCCTTGAACTTGAGTTAAGCACTATTGAAAATTTTGAATGAAATATTACCTTTTTTAGAACAATCATTCACAGTGAGGAAGAATTTGATTAAAGCTAGGGGAGTGGATGGGATTGTTCGTGCTCCAATCTTTGGTTGGATGCTATTATGTGGAGAAGAACCCGATTTTTTGAGAGGTATTATGATTTAGGATTTAGAAACTAAGGGTAAAAGTGACAAATTATGGAACACATGTACAAGTTCTCTCTCTCATATTCTCAATATCAATTCATGAAGTCTTGTTCTTTCTTGCCAGCCATGAAAATGTTGAACCCAGTAGCTTTATTCCGATCGGCTTCATCCCGCTCTTCCTCATCAAGATTTCTTATGAGCTCTTCTGCAACTAAGGATGAAGGTGGTTATGAGAGCGGTGGTGACATATCGGAAGAATCCAGCTCATTTTCGGCTGGTCATCAGTCGACATTGGATAGATTATATGCCTGGGAGAAGAAGCTCTACCAGGAAGTGAGGGTGTGTAGCTCAAATCCTCTCCTGTCCTAACTCCTAATTTTTCTGCGTTTATAACTAATAACACCATTAGTTAGAATGTTCACATGTTCCATAGACAGACACTCACAAACTTGCTTTGAATTAATCCTGTGGACGTTTCTGTTGCGCTTTTGTTTCATCATAAGACCGATTCGTAGATCATGATAGACAATTGATCTCTGTAATATTCCCTTTCTTGTTGAACAGTCTGGAGAAAAAGTTCGAATTGCATACGAGAAAAAATGTAACCAACTGAGGAACCAAGATGTAAAAGGCGAAGATCCATCTTCAGTAGAAAAAACAAGAAGTTCCATGAGAGATTTGCATACTCAGATAAAGGTTTCGATTCACTCTGTCGAAGCTGTGGCGAAAAGAATCGAAACTCTAAGAGATGAAGAGTTGCAGCCTCAACTTCTAGAATTGGTTCAAGGGTAAGTCTCTAACTGGATTTAAACATGGCGGGTGAGAAACAAACCAGGTCATGCTGAGATAATAATCTAACCTTACTTGCACAGGTTAGCAAGGATGTGGAAAGTAATGGCAGAATGCCATCAGTTACAGAAGCGGGCATTGGATGAAGCAAAGCTTCTACTCGCCGGTATACCGTCGAAGTTGGATGGTAGAAAGCTCTCTTCAGCTCCCGTCATTGAGCCAAACTGGTTAGCCCGTGCATCTGCGAATCTCGAGACGGAGCTGAGGAATTGGCGAAGCTGTTTCGAGTCATGGATCACTTCTCAGCGATCCTATATGCACGCGATAACCGGGTGGCTCCTCCGCTGTGTAAATTCCGATTCCGACACAGCAAAGCCACCATTTTCGCCCCGCAGGTCGAATGCATCTGCACTTCCAATCTTCGGACTTTGCATCCAGTGGAACAGGTTCCTGGACGAAATCCAAGAGAAGGCAGTACTAGACGGGCTCGACTTCTTTGCTGCAGGAATGGGGTCCCTCCACACACAACAGCAGCAAAGGGACGACCCTCACCGGATTCAGGTCGGGTCACAGAGATTCGGGGGGTCCGAAGAATCAGGTGGGAGCATGGAAATGGTAGAGTTTGGGAAAGTTGAAGAGGTAATGACTGCAGAAAAAATGGCTGAAGTTGCCATAAGAGTGCTGTGTGCTGGGTTGTCATTTGCTATGAGTTCACTGACTGAATTTGCTATCAGTTCTGCTGATGGATATAGTGATCTTCTTAAGCAAAAGCCTAAAGGAGACAGTAGCCAAATAGCACAATAGCCTCAAGTAGGGGTTGGAATGTAATTACAAATGCTTTTATTTGTAGCTTAGAATTTATTTTATTTTATTTGGTTGGGTTACAAAGGTTAGAAAATTGCTCCACATAGATGTATTTAGTTGAAATCTAACTTAGATTTATATGAAGTAACTTGAATGTTTTTTTTTAGTTGCTCCCTGTTATAGTGTGAGTGAGTTGGTTCTTTTTTGGCCTAAACTAACTTCGAAGTTGATATTATTCTAAATTGGAACAAATGCACGACCTAAAACAGCAAACCATCATGGGATGGTCTAGTGATTTATAAGGGCTAAAGTAAATGGTAAAGGGCTTAGAGGAAATGGATTCAAACTGTGGTAGTCATTTAATATTCTACGGATTTTCTTATCAATAAAATGTAGTAGGGTCAGACGATTGGCCTGTGAGGTACACGCAAGCTAAACGCATAGCAAAGTTGACCAGCATTCTAACCAAAATAAAATTGAATATCTAAAGTTGATGGAATATATTCGAATCAAATCAAACTAAGTCGCAATTGTAGAACGAAAAATTGATCGTTAAAATAGTAAAAAATGTCGCATCCCACTTTATCACTACAATGAATATATTGTAATCAAATCAAACTAAGTCGCAAGTGTAGAATGAAAAATTGATCGTTAAAATAGTAAAATATGTCGCATCCCACTTTATCACTACTCCAATGAAAAATATCCCCATTCTCGACAATCTACTTGTTAATTGAGAAATTTTTACCATATCTTCCATTTTATGTTGATCCTTTTCATTTCAATGCCAATCAACTAATTCTTTTTTTACCAATTTTCACTCTCATCTTTGTCTATTTATAATTGTACTTACAACTTTAAAACTTCTAAATCCTCAATATTTTGAGAAAATTGTCTATCAAGATTAAGTTTTTATTTCAAAAGTCCTTTTCAAAGGAGAAAATTTTAAATAAAATTGTATGGAACAAAAATAAAATCTACCTTTTTTGACAATGTCCATGGTGTCCCTGTGAGTCAACAAAATGCTTTCTGGTTCTTAAGAGTTTCTAATATTGCTCGAGTTCTAATGTCACTTAATGCAATCAATAATAAACTAAAGGCAACTATATCTTCCCTTATGAAGGATCTTGTAAACTAACCCTTAACCCTAAAACCATTTCGAATCTTTAATCTATCCACAAAAAGTACCGTACCGAATAAAAAGTTCAAGGACTGAACTTGTAATTTAACCCAAAAGAAGTCAATGTCAGTTTTTTAGTTTTCTTCAATTCATAGATCTGTTTGATGGTGGATTAGGCCAAAAACTGACCCACTTAGAGAAGACTCCAAACTTGTAAAAGTTAAAACTATATCAATATACTCAATTCAAAGTTGGAACAATTGTGCTCTAAATCAGAAATAGATTCAAAATAAGACTTCAGGCAAAAGCTCTCCAACAACTTATAGATGAAGACAATGAGTTAATCAGAAGAAATTCCTCAAAACACAATTCCCAAAAGAACACATCTAATTCTCAACCATTTAACAAAGATCAGTAACAAAATTTCATGTCCTTCACAAGCACAGAAACTGAACTGGCAAATTCAAGTACTTGCATATGCATAATTTCCTAAAAAATTATGATGTCAATGGACAGAACGATAACAAGTAATTATACCAACTAATCAAAAAGTGAAAGGCCAAGGTCATCGTCACTCTCTTCCTTCTCCTCTTCCTTCTTTTCAGCTGGGGCTTCTGCAGCTGGGGCAGCTCCTCCAGAAGGAGCAGCTGCGGCTGCTCCACCACCGCTGATGAAACCACCACCGCCACCGCCACCAATGATCACCTGAAATATAATAGTGTTTAGGTACACACAACAGGTAATAACAGGAATGCAGGCAATTACTTGAGGAGATACCATAAAGAGAGTATTAAAAAACCCTCATCTTGCAAATACTTTTGCTAACCCAGAAAAACTTCAAGAAGGAATCACACAAAATAATATTTCAATGGAGACATTGGCGTCTAAGCAGGTAGGTATTAATCAATCAAGAAATTCATCAATCATTATACCAGAAATATGATTGCCAAGATTCCAGAATGCAATAATGCAATACTTTTAGCACGGAGATCTTTTGGTCGACCAAATTCTAAATGATCAATAATTTCTAAATGGACCATGTACCCAAAAACCTAATTTCGTAATTGAAAACATCGACCTACAGATCAAACACAGACTAACGCATACACCAAAAAGAGAAAAACTTAAATACCATAAAATAGAAGATAATGCCTTATACTGACTAAACATGTAAAAAAAGAAATCGAAAAGCATCAGATCGGGAATAATCACGCGAGAACATCAAAAGTATTTGAAGAATAAACTCGACAAACCGATACAATAGAAGATATATATAAGGAATACCTGGAAAACGGCGGAAGTGGGGGAGATGTAAGAGAAAGAGGACTGAACACCACCGGAGGAGTCGACGGCGAGAGCAGTCTGGACGAGCTTCCTCTGGAGCTCATAGGTGGAGGCAGCGGAGCCTTCGAGGTCGCCGGAGTACTGCTTGGCGGTCCACTCGGCACCGGAGCTCCGGCAAACGAAGGTGAAAACTCCCATTGTTGGTATTGGAGAGAAGATTAGTTGAAGCGAAATTCGGCGAGAGAAGAGAGAGTGGGGCGGGTCTTGTGCAGAGATTGGTTGTGTGGTTTTTATGATGAAACCCTAGCAAGAGAGAGAGCAAATCGAGGGTTTTGCTTCATGTCAAATTATTCTTTTACCCTCGTTAGTTTTCTTGAGTTCCAATTGGTAGTCCTTGCCCTTTTGGGAAACTAAAATTTGTCTAAAATATTAAAAATGATGTTATATATATTCGTGGTTAAAAAAATATATTATTTTTGTTCCTGTACCTTCTACTTTTTTTTTTATATTTTAAAATATTCATGGTAGGTTTTACCTTTCAACTTTTGTCCATTTTAATTCTGGTATAGTTGCAAAAGGTTTGTTTTAATCCTTGTACTCTTAAAAAACGATCATTTTGATTTATTTATTTTTCGATTACAATTTTAGCCTAACATTATATTTAGTATGTTCTTGAAATATAACAATAACTTTACATTGAAGAATTTTTATAAAAATTGTGTTAAAATTTTGCAAACAGTAATCAAAATGATTTTTTATTACTCTTTAATTAATTAAAAGTACATTAGTCAAAATGAACTTTTTGAAAATACGACTAATATGAACTAAAATTGTGAACCATAATGAATATTTTAAAAGTAGAGGGACCAAAATAAAGCTAAAATTGAAAATATATCAACGAAAATAGACATTTTAAAAGTAGATACCAAAATTAATCTAGGCTAAAAATAAAATAACTTCTATATATTTAACGACTATGAACATAATATTAGAGTAAATATATCTAAAACTGTTACAAATTTCGTAACTTAAAAGTTACAATTTTAGCCCAACTCGAAAATAGTTCAATTGGTAAATACATTAAGTAATCTAAGGTCTAGAATTTAAATATCACCCCATCCATTGTGGAAGAACTAAAAAAGATGTTACAATGTTTGTAGAATTGAGTCTTCTTTTATATGTCAAGCTATGTTCATGTTCGCTAAAAGAATGAGTTAGGCTTTTTTGAGTACAACTTTTACTGTTGAATTATTTTCATGATGACAATTATTCTTCGTATTTACATGTATTGTATCTGTATGTGGGATGTATTTTAATTGTATGTTTCTTTTTAATTTTAAAACTTTATTTTTTTGTAATACTCTTATCATTTGTTTTAAAAATTGTTTTTTTAGTACAACATGCTGGGGAGTAGATTTGAACTTACAACCTCTTGGAGGTATATGTCAATTAGCGCTGAGTTATGTTCGTTTTGATTTTAAAAATTGTTTTTTAAATGATAACGAATTTGAAAAACTAAAGATATAATTTTTTCAATTTTTTATTTTTAAAATTTGATTAAGATTTAATATTTTTATTTTTTAAATAATAATTTTTCTTTAATATTTATTCATTTTAATTATATAAACATAAATACTATTTTAATTTGAATAAAAAATGGATCAATAAGGCATTAACTACTATTAAATATTAATAAAGGTGTTTTGAAGTTTTAATAATAAGGGTATTTTAGTTTTAAAGGCTAAAATACTTCGTGTCAAATTTTTGAGGTAAGGTCTAAATATGTCTATAAATTTTAAAATGTTTAACAGATAAATGAATATTAAACACAAAATTAAAAAGCTTGAATGTGATAGACTGTTTTTTAAAATTAAAAAAATTATTATACACAACATTAAAAATTTACAGACTTATTAATCACATCTCTTAAAGTTTTAACTAATTTTAAAATCATTTTTCTGTTTCTATTTTCAATTTTGCTTTTAAGAAGTACAGTCTTTGGTTACCTGGTAAAAGTAAAGAAGTTGTCCCTAATAGAGTTTTTAATAACGCTTTTACAAATTTAAAATATGTTTAATTTTATTAAACACAAAATTAAAAATTTTAAGTAATATTTCAAAATTATTTTAAAAAAATTGCTTCTCAATAAGGTCATTTAAAGTGTTGTATTTTAGTTTCTAGAATTTTCAACATCAACTTCTAGGTTTGGCCTAGACACTTGTCTACATAATATCTACAAATATGGACGGTGGAAATTTGAACATCTCAATTCAAGAAAATGAGTTATATGTATTTTGCTGTTGAGCTGTGCATACATTGGTCGTTGGTATAACGTCTCGTTTTTTAATTCAACCATATGTGAAAGTGGAGATTCAAAACTCAACTTTTTGATCGATGATATATGTATTAACTAGTTGGCATATCTTCAAAATAATTAACTATAACTTGAGTTTTCCCGCAATAGATATGAATAGACTAATTAATAGAACTAGAGTTATGTAAGAAAATAGGCAAAATCTCCTACTTCTTGGTAACGTATCCTAAAATCTTACTCTAAATTAATTAATTAGATATGTACTTCGAATTTCATTGTGAGTTCATGTTCCTCTATATGCACAATTTACACTTTTCAAAATGCTTCAATCTGTTGTATTCTTAAATGGCGACATGTAATGGTTGAAACCCGAAAATTTAGTTGGAGAAATAAAAAGAGTCCATAGCGCTGGGCAGAGAAATGAAATATCGACCTTTAGAATAGTATCAAGTGTTTTTATCCATTGAGCTATGCTCGAATTGATAAATGATTATTTATAGATCTTATCCATCTTCGACTTAAACATAATACGGGCGGAAAGATTATCTAATATCATATATCCTCAATTTAGATTTGTGTATGTTAACCTTTGACCTAGATAAAGAGAAAAAATGGACAATGATTTGAATTTTTTTTTAGTACAACGGACAATGATTTGAATTGAAATAATTGTTTAACCTAAAAATACATCATAATAGCTCATTTATATGAAATTTGTATCAAACTTTAGTCTAACTCAATTGATTAAAATATATATATCGTCCACCAAAAGATTAAATGTTTGAATCTCGAGTTTCATGGGTTGCTGAACTAAAAAAGAACAAACTATTATTGAATCACAATATAAATTAAATGAATATAAAATAACTAATTTAAAACAAAAAAATCTAGAAAACATGTGTTAGGGGTGAAATTATAGTGGTTGGTTCACTCATAGTGAGGTCAAAGAAGTGGCGGTGAGCCAATCCATCTAAGTCAAGGTGGTAATTACCTTGAGCTAACCTCAATACGTTGGACTACTCGAACCAAACAAGTTGACCTGACTTATCGAGTCAGTCCATTTGAGTCGAGATAGTAAACCCCCACTTAATATAATCAAGCCAATCCATCTTAGTTCTGTAACATCCCACGATTGACTCCATACATTTTTACATCCTACTCTTTGTTACAAAATTGATTTATTGCTCATTTTGAATATTAAAAAAACAAACAAGCAATATTTCAAAAGCATTATTTTATTTGGGGATGACATTGAAGCAACAATTTGAGCTGTATGAGCATGCATGATTGAGGCTGATTACCCTTCTTCTCTCTTCCTTTATTGAATTTCTTTTCAAAAATTGGATCATAAGGGGAAAAGTCAATTTGGCCCTCTCTCCCCCTAAGTACATTTTTTTATTCCAAAACTCACCCAATAAATAATAAAATAAAAAATAGATGGAATATGATTCCATATAAGCATTCATTGGGTTCATATGCTATATTTGACAACACATTCTAAAATAAATTTATTTCATATATCAATTCTCAATTACAAAGTTTATAGCCTATTCCCTATTCTAGTTTAAATTGCCATGTTTTCAATATTCTCAATCTCAAATAGATGATAAGAAACGCAATTCAAAAACCTCTCCGACCACATATTCACAATTCAAAATACCTGAATTCGTTATAGTCTCTTATGTGATACTTCGATTCCCTGAATTGGTTATTCCTAAACGAATTATGAAAGGTATAACAAATATACATTGTCTCCGCATTGAATAAAGAATAGGATCGAAGGGATAAAAAAATATTAATTTATATAGAGCCACTAAGTCGACCAACCAAACTAGATATAACACATTTTTAAGATATGAAAAATGTAAGAGGCTAATACTATTGTTTTCTTCTTTAAAATTAAATTACTTATTTTTCACACATTTCGATTTTTTTTTAAATGGTGCATACGATTTGTCCATGTTGAATGTTGATATCAAAATTGTTTTTTAATATTAATTGGCACATCAAGATTTCCATATTTTTTGGAATTATATTCCACCCCAATGGGTTCTCCCTTTCTGACACCTTCAAACTTTTGTTTTATA